GAATTGTTTTAAATTTGTAGACTAGTGTGTGGAGCTGTTTGGGTCTGTAGGCTGGTGTATGGAGGTGTTTGAGTTTGTAAATTATGTGGAGGTGTTTGAGTCTGTAGGCTGGTGTGTGGAGGTGTTTGATGATGATGACTTGGTTAAAGGTCCATGTTGAGATGTGAAATTACAGGGTGTGGTATTATAAGGTCAGTGAGATCAACTTCAAGATTACAGGCTGGTAATGATTGGTTTGGTGAAATGACAAGAAGAGAATTAACTAAGGTATTTGGGTATGCAGGTTGGTATGAGTCTGTGTCTGATGATTTGAACTATGTTGAACTGAAAGTAGGTAAGGAAGTGTGATGTGTAGTATGTGATTTTGTCGAATTAGCACCAGCTGCTGCTGTTAAAGAATCAGACTTACCTGAGGAATTTGTTACAATAGAGGGATATTTAGAAAGCCTTTGGGGAGACTTAGGAAAAGGTACATATGTAAATGGAAAAAGTAGAGATGTACTAGCTATAGACTAAGGATGAGAGGACTCAAAACTAGATTCAGAATTAGATTGAGGAACAAACTGAGGGTGAAAAGTGTTAAGAGAGAAAGGAAACTCTAGTTCATTGGATTTAACACTAGGTGAAATAACTAGTTTACCATTGGGTTGTAGACATTTGTAACCCATTGTAGCCCTTATGAACTAGGCTATACCCAACAAAGACACATTTGGTACTATGAAAACTGAATTTATGGCGATTAAAAACTCTAAGGTAAAGGAAACAAGAGCATCCAAATACCCTTAAGCTTTCATAGACAGGAGATACTTTAAATAACATTTGGTAAGGTGAGATATTATTTAAAACAAAGGTAGGCATTCTGTTAATTAAATAAACAATAGTTTAAAATGATAACCACCAAAAATGGAGAGGCATTGAAGCATGAGCAAGCAAGGTTAGTCCTATTTCCATTATATGCCTATGTTTTCTTTCGCTTCAACCATTTTGTTGATGGATATAAGAGCATGAATGTCTAAACTGAATGCCTAAGTTTGTGAGATATGTATGAAGTGCTATGAATTCCCCTCATTGATCAGATTGTAGACATTTTAATTTGTAACCAGATTGCCTCTCGGCAAGATGATGAAATTTAATAAAAATAGACTTAACTTGAGCTTTAGTTCTAAGGGGAAACAACCAAGTGTATCTGCTATAGTCATCAAGAAACTGTATGTAATACCTAAAACCTTCAGAAGAAGGTAAAGGGGCAGGACCCCATATGTCACTATGAACTAATTCTAATGGAGCAGTAGCATGAGAAGAGGAAGGAGGGAAACTTGCATTGTGAAGTTTGCCTAGTTGACATGCATCACAGAATAAAAAGGAAGTTTGTGTATGTGTGACATATTTTGAGTTAGTCGAGTTGGATAAGATTTTATGTAAGATGATGGAATGTGGGTGCCCTAGTCTTTTATGCCAGGTTATATGATCTTGAGCAATTTTATTAACAGTGAAACACAAATTTTTAGTACCAGGCAAAGCTAAGGCAGTATGCACATCAGTACTATCAGTAAGGCTATCATTTTTAGGCACATCAGTACTATCAGTAAGGCTATCATTTTTAGACACATCAAGAAGATTAGGCACAGCAGTATCAGAATGCATATAAGAAATTGTAGACACAGCAGAGGTAGTATAAGCATCAGTAAGCACATCAATATGTTCTAAATGCACATCAAAAGTTGTAGGTATAGTAGAGATAGTATGAGCATCAGTAAGCACATCAATATGTTCTAAATGCACATCAGAAGCTTTAGGCACAATAGAGGCAGTATAAGCATCGATAAAATCATCATTTGTAGGCACAACAATATTCTCTTTATTTATTAGACCATTGCATATTATAGGACTACAAGTGTTTGAAACAGAAGACAAAACATCAGAGTCAAGCTTACACTGCTCTTGAGTGAGTTTTGGATTGAAATGAATAGTGGTATCTAGGACATGCTGATTACAAGTATTATTAGAACCGTGAGAAGACAAGTCATTTTTTACTACATTATTGCAATGTGAAACATAATTATTCAAACTACAGTTTTGACAGTGAGACTGTGAGGGTTATGCAGAACAAACAGGTTTGGTGTAGGGAATATTCAACTGATACAAGCCTTCTTTAAGATCCCCTTGCAGTAACATTTCCCTGGTTGTTTGGTCCTTAACAATGCAACAGTCAGCATTAAATTCAACAATTACATTATTGTCTTTTGTAAATTTTGAAATGCTAAGTAAGTTTTTGGTAATTTTAGGGACACATAATATGTTTTTGAGATGTAAACATTTAGAATGGAAATGGCTGGATAATAAAGTGTTACCAGTATGAGAGATGTCAAGGTGTTCACCATTGCCCACTTGAAGTTGATTTTGACCATAATAATCCTTGCTGACTTGTAGATGACTCAGATCTGAAGCTACATGATCAGTAGCTCCAGAATCCATGTGCCATATGGGGTTAGTAGGGGTGAAACGTGAAGCAGTGGCTGTTTGAGAACTTTACAGGTTTGGACCATAGTGTGCAGTAGGAGCATAATTTGAGGCTGCTAGAAATGCTTGATTAGTACTTGTTGGTTGTCGGCTTGGCAAACCAAAGACACTAGGAGAACCAGCAGTAGTGTCAGAACCAGGAGATATAGGAATGTTGCCTAAACTTGGAGGTATATAATTTGTGTAGCCAACAACTCCAAAGGAAGGGCCAAATTGAGATGGTTGCTTGGAATTAGGACTAGGAGCAAGCTGATGAGTGTTAAAGTTTTGAAACTGCTGAGAATGTGAACCAGGTGAACCAGGAAAACCAACAAATTGTGAGGAACCATACTACAAAGCTCCATTATAGGCAACATTAAACCTGTGATAACACTACACAGTTGAATGCCCTGTCTTGTTACACACTTGATAGATAAGTTTGTTCCTGTTAGAACTACGACCTCTGCCTCTTCCATATGACACATAATCAGAAGGTCTAGGAGTAAACATTTAGTTACCAGGCTATTGAAAAACTTGATAATGTGAACCAACTAAATAGGTGTCAGATGGTGTTGTATAGGTTTGATGACAGTGTGGATTACCAAGGGAATTGAGAGAAGGAACATTGTTGTTGAACAAGGTAAGGTTAGGGACTTGTCTATTGTTTGGTTTTGTGATAAGTTTGAATTGTTTCCTACACTTCCAGACACATTTGTGAAAGCTATATGAGCAGAGTTGTTTTATAGGTTAATGGGGTTGAACTTCTTTAATCGGATTTCATACTTCTAAAGCAGAAATTGTGCTTCTTGAAGCGTGACTGAATCAATTTTTGACTCTAGTCTAGAAGTATGGGTTTCTACTACAGGTTCATATTCTGGTCCTAAGTCATCAAGGACATATTGTAGTAAATCCTCATCTGAGATGATTAAGCCACTAGCTGACAAACTCTCACTTATCTCCTTCATTTTCTTAATGTAATCTCCAATGGTTAGATTACATTTTTGTGTTGTTTGCAACAAATTCTTAAGATGTAGAGCACGAGCTTTGGAATCATTAACAAATTCATTCTTTAAAACTCTCTAAATCTCAGTTGAGTATCTACATTTTGACACATTACCAAACATGCTCTCTGATATAGAAGCTAGTAGCCAACTAACTAAAAACTTATTTGTACATTTCCACATAACATAGTCTGGATTGATTTTGTCAGATCTAACCCTAACATCTTCCTTGAGCTCACTTAGGTCATTATCAACTGATGATTTTGCAAGAATTAAAGGTGGAGGGTAAGAAATTTTACTGAGTAAGTGATCTTCAAGCTCATGAGAGCCAACAGCAAACAAGACCTGCGAGCTCCAAAATCGATAGTTGTCTCGCGTGAGTTTAGAGCTAATTACTTGTAAACTAGAAGCAAGTGCAGAGTTGGAACAATTGAGTGATTCTCTAAGCATTTCCTCAATGCAATTAGTCAAGATTGAGGAAGAGACCAAGTGTTTGGCCATTTGACGCTAGTCAAGGCTCTGATATCATTGAAAACTTAGAGAGAACAGTCGAGACAGAGTGAGAAATTGAATCTGTATATTTTTATTGATTAAAGCTTTACAATCAAAAGCCCCTTTTATACAGTGAGCTTGCAAGAGAGTAAAGTGAAACAGAGAAAGAACTAATGAAGAGAGAGTTAGCTAAAGAGAGTGGCTCAATCAGCTTAATCTAAGAAATATTACTGAAACGACATCGTTTCAGCAATATTTCAAAGAGGCCCACATCTTTTGATAGTTGCACAGATTAATCCTTTGAATCAAGCTTATTCTTACATTCCCCTCTGAGCTTGACTGAGTGTGCCTTGAGTATGTTACTAGTTTCTTTGCCCATATATTAACATTCATTATATTTTTCCAAACTTCCTAAATATGTTTATGTACCTATTCATACATATATTTCTAATTACATTTTCATAGGGATTATTTCTGTAAAGTATATTCAGGAAAACAGGATTTCAGGTTCCACAGTTTTCCCCACATGACACGTCTCGGTTATCTGAGTCTTGTGGGAGTGCTCGGATTCTATAGGATGAGAAAGGTCGAGACGGGTCGTGTCAGGTGTTCTCCTTCAAGGGTGGAAATCTGCCATCTCTTTAGAGGCAAGAAACTTTGACTAATCTTGACAGCAACGGTTGCATATTCACCATTCATGTTTGCAAGAAATTACCCTATAGAGGCAATACAACAATACTTAAACTGGGTCAATCTCAGAGCTTCTAATTACCCAACCCTCTAAAGGAGAACGTTACGGGTGCTAACGCAACTCTTTACGACCCGAATAGTGATGTTTATATGGATCAGGGTTTAAGGGAGTGGATGGATGGAGGATTATCTGCCAATAAGTTGGTTTTGCATTTGCCTTTATACGGCTATGCATAGAAGCTTGTGAACCCTGAAGACAATCACATTGGTGCACTGGCAATAGGACCAGCGATTTCAAGAAATGGATTGCTGAGCTATATGGATATCATGAATCACATTAGAGGATCTGGTCATAAAATTGATGTCAAATACAGACCAATTTATGTAGTGAATTACTGCACAATTGAATCATCTTGGATTGGCTTTGATGATGGTGAGGCTATCAAAGCTAAGGTTTCTTATGCCAAGGAGAAGAAGCTACTGGGTTACTATGTGTGGCGAGTTAGGTATGATGATAATTGGGTGCTTTCTCAAGCAGCAGGTAATAATCTTAATTATTTCACTCGATAGTATTCATTTTAATTAAGATCTTTATGCCATTTATAATCAATATGATGATTGTTTTTTTAGCTGAGGCGGATATTAAAAATTCTTCCGATCAAGAGGGTAGTAAGAGGCATTTGTTAGCCATTATTTTGTGCTCAACAGCAGTTGTTATTCTTCTACTAGGAATGTTTGTGATATATTATTGGTGGACGAGAAAGCTCAAATCAAGAGGTTAATTTTTCAAGCTAAGTAATGGGGTTCTTCAATCAACTAAGGTGGAGATAAATTCCTATATGTTAATGATTTAAAAACAAAATTTCCGACACTAAATTATTGTAATATTTTTAGCAACTGAAAATTAGTTAATATATGTTTAAAATTTGTATTTGAAAGCTATTTTTAAAAACATTTAACATCATTTTTGACCAAATGTTTTTTCTTAGATCTTTTTCAATTAATTCCTCATTTTCAAAAACAAAAACTATATTAATTATAACTCAAGTTTTCTATCTCATATATACTTCCTCTCTCTGTTCGTTAATAGAGATGTCGGACCGGGTGAAAGATCCAAGTATACAGTAAATAAAGCAGCAGTAGATTTTAGTAGCAGTGTTCCTAATCTGGTGATGTACACATTGAATGGCATTGAGGCAGCTACAAATGGATTTTCAGTCAAAAAAAAGCTTGGGCAAGGTGGATATGGTCCTGTTTACAAGGTAATTTTTTGTAGGCTATATATATATATATGTAATATTCATGCTTAAGAATTTGGCTCTGACTATTTTGGCCGAGGAAGAAAAATAATTAACTACAAATTAGTTTATCTACAAACCATATATGGGTGTATTTTGCTAGGGTATACTACCGGATGGACAAGAAATTGCAATGAAGAAACTTTCAAAAACATCCAAACAAGGATATGAGGAATTCAAGAATGAAGTTATGCTTATTACAAAGCTCCAACATATAAATCTTGTTAGAGTTTTGGGTTATTGCATTGACAGAGAAGAACAGATGCTGGTCTATGAATACATGGAAAACAAAAGCTTAGACTATTTCTTATTTGGTATGAATTTTTTCAAGGCAAATTCTTAGATTCATTTAATATTTCCTCTTATATGATTGGTACTCTAGATGGTGAATATAGCATTGATTATGACTTCATAAATAAATTTGATGCAGACCCTAATAGATATTATGTTTTGGATTGGAAAAAGCATGTGCAAATTATTGAAGGGGTTACTCAAGGGCTTCTATATCTCCAAGAATTCTCAAGATTTGCCATTATTCATCGATATTTGAAAGCTAGTAATGTTTGTTGGACAAAAATATGAAACCAAAAATATCAATTTTTGTGAAAGGAGACGTTGAAGCAAACACAGAAACAATTGTTGGAACGAGGTAAATATATTTTATTATTTTCTTTCCATATTATTACATACTCAATTTAATATGGTTTAGTAATTGTTTATAATGCCTAACATAGGTGCTATGTTCCTCATGAGTACCTGAAAAGGGGCATATACTCTACAACGCCTGATGTTTATAGTTTTGGTGTCTTACTTCTTGAAATTATGAGTGCAAAAAGAGTTAATGGGAGCTTAAACTTCCTAGATTATGTAAGTTTCTCCTCTAATCCTTAGTATTTGGTATCTTTAGCCAATCTCTAATGTGAACGTCTTGAAGTTTTAAATTTGTGGAGAGAGCAGCTCCTAGTTGGCTTAAAGATCAGCTCCTAGTTGTTAGCCTCAGAATAAGAAAAAAAATCAAAAGTTAGTGACTAATCACTAACATTTGATCAATCTGGATATTAAAAAACTTCAGAATATGTGTGTAAAAGAATTTTTATTTGTATATTTTTTTTTTTTGGTGTTTAGAATACAAGAAAAGGTACAAATCAAATGCACTTATATTTTATCATCTTCAGGCATATAAGTTGTATGGCAAAGGCATGGAGTTTGTGGATCCATCGCTAGATGATGCAAGTTCCTCTTGTAACTCATAAGATGCTTGCAAATAACTTTGCTATGTGTCCATATTGTTTATAAAGGTCTAAGGGATCAGAGTGTCATATGCAAGTGGAATAGGGTCAGGAAGAACTTTGCCAATACGCTGCGTTTTACTAAAAATGCAGTATATATGTGCTTTGTACTGTAGCTTTCATCTTTAAGCAAAACAGAAATACCCAGATTACTTGACTGAATCTGAATCTGAATCTGAATTTGTTTTCTGGTTTTTCACAATTCCAGTCTTCGAGTAGCATTCCCAGTCAATTTACCCAATTTCAACCATAATACTCTACTTTGCTGGATATGCAAAATCAGTTACTCCATCCTAGGATGATGATGTTTCACCCTCATATGAGACCTAGAGGAAGAGGTAGAGGTTCCTTTAAGCCTAAATTGATATGCCAAGTTTGTGGCAAAGTTGGACACTCGGCATTGCAATGCTACCATAGGTTTAATCATGCCTATCTAGGATTTACTGGTTCTTTTGATGTGGTTGCTTCTCAAGCTCAGTTTCCAAATCTAGCTACTGAAACCTATTGCTCAAGCTTTTCTTGCAATAAAACTAATGCATGCAACACAGCACCAGTCAGCCAATTATTCTCACACTGGTTTCAATCAATCACTTCCACTGTATCCTCAATCACTTCAGTCTAGAGGTATACAACAGATTCAATATTCCCAGCCATCTTTGCAACAGTTTCAACACTCTTACCCATCCTCGCAAGTGAATTCATCACAACCTCAATAGACTATGTTTAAAGGATCAAATGTGTCTGCACCTATGTCTACTCAGCATCTACCTGTTGCTGCTTCTCAAACAGTAATAGATCAGACTTGGTACGTTGATTACAAATCATATGATAGCTGAAACTAGTAATTTGATGGTTAAAAGTGACTATCAAGGTGATTCTCAGGTGCAAGTTGGAAATGGGCAGGTTGTTCCCATCACTCACATAGGTATGTCTTATGTTCCATCTCACTCTACTAAGAGACTTTTGGAATTAAAGAATATGCTTTGTGTTCCTCATATTAAAAAGAATTTACTTCGTATTTCTCAAATAACTAAGGACAATGATGTTATTGTCAAATTTCACTCCAATTGCTATTTAATAAAGGATAAAACCACCAAGGAAGTCTTGCTTCAAGGAGGCTTGCGAGATGGACTTTATCAACTACAGATTTCACCTAGTCTGCTCCAGTTTTCTACCTTCAACAATAACTCGGATTCTGTTCTCAGATCTGTATCAAGTGGTATTAGTACAAATTTAGGTCAAGGCATTAATATTGCTTTAGCTACTACAATGTCAGCATGTAATAAAAATGTTTCTGCTAATTCTGATGTTAGTACTGCTATGTTGTGGCATGCTAGACTTGGTTACCCCAATGTCAAAACTTTACATAATGTACTAAATAAACTACATTTATGCAGTGTTTCAAGCAATAATATGGCATTTTGTGAAGCATGTCAGTTTGGAAAAATGCAACAGTGTGGTTTTCCTAGTTCAAATTCTATTTCAACTACTCCACTTGAATTGATTCATGCTGATTTGTGGGGCCCTGCACCAGTGGTATCCTCTTAAGGATATAGATATTATATTGCATTTATGGATGATTATAGTCGTTACACGTGGGTTTATCCTCTGAAGTTGAAATCTGATTCCTATGGTATTTTTACACAATTTCACTATTTTGTTGAGAAGCAGTTTGATTTTAAAATTAAGTGTTTGCAAAAAGATTGGGGAGGTGAGTTTAGATCATTCTTCAGATATCTTCAGCAACATGGAATCAATTTTAGGCACCCTTGCCCTTATCTCCATCAACATAATGGCAGGATAGAGAGAAAACACAAGGCCATTACTGAATTTGGTTTAACTATGCTAGCTCATGCTGGAATGCCCTTATGCTTCTGGTGGCAAGCCTTCTCAACAGCAACCTTTCTTCTAAACAGGTTACCATTTACTGCCATAGGTTTTGCATCACCTTTTCAGAAACTTTTTAATAAAGATCATGATTATACACAGCTGAAAGTTTTTGGTTGCAGTTGTTTTCCCTATATTCGGCCCTTCCAACAATACAAGTTCTCTTATCACACTGAGAAATGTGTGTTTCTAGGATATAGCTCAGAGCATAAGGGCTATAAATGCTTGTCTTCATCTGGAAAAGTTTATATAGTTAGACAGGTTAAGTTCAACGAATCTGAGATGGCTTTTAAGTCTGGTTTTCAGTGCTCTCTAGTCTCTCAAGTTGAAGAAGTTGTGGATCAAGTTAATAGCATCAATGGATCTCTAACTCCTTGGCAGTTGCCTATGCAGATTGGTAATTTTGTCACTCCTCAGTCTGCTCCTATTTCTTCAGTCTGGACCAGTAGAGATACCTTTACACCATCTCTTGTTCATACAACTCAGTCTGATCAATGCACAGTAACAGCTCACTCCAATGCTCCATCTGCAACTAATGAGGTTCAACTTGAAGTAGTCTTACCTACTCAACCTCCTAAGCATCAGTTCTCTGAAACAAGTACTGAAAATGTCTAGACATCTCAACCTGATCAATGCCCAGTCACAGCTCACTCCAATGACCCATCTACACATAAAGGGATTCAACTTAAAGTAGTTTTACCTATTCAATCTCCTAAGCATCAGACTTCTGTCAAAGGTACTAAAAATGTCCATCTTATCTTAACAAGGTCAAAAGGCTTGGTACAACCTTGTGCTCTTCTCTCCACAGCAACAATTCTGCCTGAGCCCAAAACTGTGACAGAAGCACTTTAATGTCCAGAATGGAAGTCAGCTATGGAAACAAAATTTCAAGCTCTCATCTGAAACCATACTTGGGAATTAACTCCTTACAGTTCAGATATGCATGTAGTTGGTAGTAAATGGGTGTTTAAGACTAAACTAAATGTTGATGGATCTCTTCAAAAATATGAAGCAAGGCTGGTAGCTAAGGGTTTTCAACAAACACCAGGATTAGATTATTTTGATACCTTTGCTCCTATGATTAAAGCTGCCACCATCAAGATTATTCTCTCATTAGCTGTTCATCATGATTGGCCTATTCAACAGCTAGATATAAATAATACTTTTATAAATGGGGATCTCACTGAAAATGTGTTTATGGTTCAGCCTGTAGGTTTTGAAGTTGAATCTAATCCTAGGCTTGTTTGCAAATTAAAAAAGGCCTTGTATGGCCTAAAACAGGCTCCTCGAGCCTAGTTTGACAAATTGAAGAAAGCATTGTTGACTTGGGGATTTGTCAATTCTACATCAGATGTCAGCCTCTTCTTTTACAAAAAAGGTAGTCAAGTAGTGTACCTATTAGTATATGTTGATGATATTCTTATGACTGGTAATGATCCTGAGTTAATTTCTCAAGTTGTGCATGATTTGAATTAGCAATTTGCTTTAAAAGATATGGGGGCTGTAAATTATTTTCTTGGCTTTGAGGTACATAGGAATGATTCAGGTTTGCTACTAACACAATCTAAATATACTCAAGAGCTTCTTCGCAAAGCTGGGATGTCTGATTCTAAATCTTGTCTTACACCCATGTCAACTGGTGTTAAACTTAGCAAAGAGGATGGTGCCATCTTTGATCAACCATCTCTCTACTGGAGTATTATTGGGGGCTTACAATACCTTACATTATCCAGGCATGATTTAGCATTTGCAGTCAATAAGTTGAGTCAGTTTTTGCAACTCCCCACGACGTCTCACTAGACTGCTTGCAAAAGAATGCTGAGATATATTAAAGGCACCCTTCAACATGGGCTATATTTTAAGAAACATCAGCATTTGGTGCTTGAAGGGTACACAGATGCTGACTGGGCCAGTGATACCAGTGACTAAAAGTCTACTACAGGTTATTGCATCTATCTTGGAGGAAATCTGGTACAATGGTGTTCAAGAACACAGAGGTCTATAGCATTGTCATCCACCGAAGCAGAATATCGAGCACTAAGTCAAGCAGCTACTGAACGGGTCTGGATTCAAAACCTATTTCAAGAGCTTGGTATAAGGGTTAATGTAACACCTGTCCTTTGTTGTGACAACATGAGTGCCGGTGCTTTGTCATCCAATCCTGTCTTTCATGCAAGGACCAAGCATATTGAAATTGATGTGCATTACATGAGGGAACTTGCAGCAGAAAAAAGACTTAGTGTTCAGTATGTTGCATCAGAATATCAGATTGCTGATATTCTAACAAAACCTCTTCCAAGTCACAAACATCAGCTTCTGCGTGACAGATTGAATGTGTCCAGTAGTCTGGTTGCCTCTTCAGAATTACTAAAGGTTAATCAAGATGTTTTATCTGATAAGTACAAG